GAATCTTACCATGTAAAATTTTCTTACTCCACTGGCAGAAATTTTTGACTTTGCAGACTAACAAGACAAATAATCTTACACATTCTGAAAACAAGATTATTATTCTTACACAATCAGTTCTTGTTTAGTAAATCAGTCTTAAAACAAGATCAAAAAGACTTTTTGGCTGATATAAGATTTTGAAACGGTAAGATGGACAGTTTTTTTGTGCTCACAGATAGAAAGATACTTTAGCAGAGTGAGCTGTTTAATAAGATTTGATTCTTCAAGTATATTAAATCTGTAAAGTGTAATCTCTTAAACATGAAATGTATTTCATTACTTTTGTAAAGATCAGAGTACTCTGATTAAAACAAAGTGTTGTTAAACAGTCTGAGAAACCTGTGATGGACTCATGTCCTCTGTGTTCTTCTGATCTCTCTCTTAGGACTGCCCGTTCATCGTGTGTATGACATACGCCTTCCACACCCCCGACAAGCTGTGCTTCATCCTGGACCTCATGAACGGTGGGCCAATCCTCCCAGCCTCCTCGGCTTCATCTTTAGACAGATTGATTGGATTACTCAGCCTGTCGCCGGCCGCTCGGGTCGCTCCTCCTCTCCAGAGATCCAGAGAGTTGATGAGATTTTTGACCTCACTGATTAAGCTTTGTGCCGCAGTGACCTGCCTCGTTTAGACCTCCCAACATCCTCTGAGTTCTACCTCACCGCCGGCATTTCCTCCTACAGGATCTGCCGCCGAGACTGAGTCACTCTTAAAGTTGACAGAGCTGAGCCCGTGCTGTAGTTCCTGCTCATGGTTTCAGAGTGTGAGCCTGAGCTGTGCTATAAATACAAAACAGTCAATATTCATTAGGCTGGAGACTAGTGAAGGAAGGAGAGCACGACAGAGGAGGCCTCCTATTGGTTCTTATCTTCTCCTTATCGAACTTTAAGTCATTAGTTCTGAAACTTTTCATGCCGTGCCCCCAGACCCCCTCATACCTACGACAGGGTATAAGGGCCACTTTTTTAAAAATTAGGCAAAAATTGTTTTCATAGTTTCCCTAACTTAACAGTCAAAATGTCAAAATTAAAGTTGAAACTTGGAAAAAAAGATGTTTCTCAAGACTGAACCCAACTGAGTTTCTTCCATTTCTTTTAACTGCAAAATAACACACAGTATTTTATTAGAAGCAGTTTGAGGTCTTTATTGTAGTAGTAAAAATCAACATTTGATATAAAAAAAAAGTTGTAATCACACCTACACTTATAGAACCCCTGCTGTATATGTTAAGTGTGTGGGTTTGTGTGTGTTTTCAGGAGGAGACCTGCACTACCACCTCTCTCAGCATGGAGTGTTCAGTGAAAAGGAGATGCGTTTCTACGCTGCTGAAATCATCCTGGGTCTGGAGCACATGCACAACCGCTTTGTTGTCTACAGAGACCTCAAGGTAGGTCCATGACCAGATTTTCAAACCTTTGGCTAAACTCACAAATGCTGCTGCTTCAGCCTTCTGTATTACACTACCATCATTAAAGTTGTGTTAGATCTGACTGTATGTGTACATCTAAAAAACCACTGTTTCATCACAGTCTTTGTTAGTAAATATATGACTAATTAGCTGTAATTTCATTCTTGTCTTATCTTATCTTATCTTATCTTATCTTATCTTATCTTATCTTATCTTATCTTGTCTTGTCTTGTCTTGTCTTGTCTTGTCTTGTCTTGTCTTGTCTTGTCTTGTCTTGCCTTGCCTTGCCTTGCCTAGTCTTGTCTTGTCTTGTCTTGTCTTGTCTTGTCTTGTCTTGTCTTGTCTTGTCTTATCTTATCTTATCTTATCTTATCTTATCTTATCGGATGACGAATAGACCTCATCAAAAACAGAAGTTGTTATAACTCATTCAATTTTAGTTTTAAGTTTTTCATGGTGGTAGCAGAGAGTCACCTGTAAGCTAGGCTCAGGCAGTATGACCGAGTTGTGGCATACCTCGCTATTGAAATATGTTGAGGATGTTTAAAGGGATCCATGATTAGTTGTAACATTAGACTTTATTTAATAAACGTATATTTTAACTGTAAAATAAAGACTGTAAAAATACTGTAGGATGTTCAGTTTTTATCATTTTTGAACTAAAAGTTTAAAAATATATAACACGGACGGAGCCGTTTTATTTACACACAAAGCATTCTGGGTAAATGATGATAGGGATAGGTCATCGGTGCGAGGCTGCTAGCGAGCTATATCCACTCTGAAGGTTAGTCTTGGACAATATCTGATGATCGACTCTTTTAAATGAAACCAGAGAGCGTTGACAGAGAGGAGAAGGTAGAAATGACTCAGCCTGTAACTGAAAATATGGATGGAGGATAACAGAGCAGCTGCTTCATGGAAGAA